AATCGAGGAGCGTAAGCAACCTGCCCCCACGTGCCCCCCCAAATCCAGGAACGTAAGCAACCTGCGCCCACAAACTGGGCCAGGTTGCTAGCCGTCGGTAGCCGTCGGGAGAGCTCCCGACGGCTACCGACAGGGGCCAAGAGGGAAGGTGGAGTGAAAACAAGCATCCTTTCCACCCCAAAAAGACCCACTGATGCTCATGATGCTCGGCCGGCCCTCCCAAAAGGATGCCTTCTCAACCCAAACGAGGGAATCCCTCGTTTGAAAACAAGCGTCCCTTCCACCCCAAAAGGACCCACTGATCGGCCCGGGCGTTCTCAAAGGATGCATGTTCAATCCAAACGAGGGGACTTCCCTGGTTTGGATTGAAAACAAGCCCCCGTTGGACGCCAAGGCACGCCCAAACCCCCCCAGTTCAGGCCATTAGGGGCTGTTTGAAAAAAAAAAAAGCAGTGTGTGCGCGACGTGAAAACCGAACACATTGGGGGCTGTTTGAAAAGCATTGTGTGCGTGAGTCTTCGGGGCGGCCCCCGAAACCCCTCCCCCTCCCCGGTGTGGGCCCCTCCAAACCGGGAACCACGGGTGGTGATGCTCTGGATGCCTTATTTGTGCGGTGTTTTTGTTGCCATAACCCCCTATGGCTTAGGCCCCTGCAAACCGGGAACCACGGGTGCTGATGCTCTGGATGCTCGAAATTTGTGTGCTGTTTCTGCTGTACTCACAGGTGTACCAAGACGGCGAGTGTGTTCAAACAGCACCCCGGCGGTCTCGCCGTTGTGTTGTACTCAATACTGTACAAAGACGGGAAGCGTATTCAAATGGCACCCTTTCCACACAACAAAAGCAAAGCTGCATGGTTTTTGTGCAAACCCTTGCCCTCCGGCAGCAGCACTGCAAGCTTCTTTATAAACCCTTGTCCTCCTGCCTGCGTTACCAAAACGGAAACTGCCAGGCAACCGCTGTCCTCCTCCAACCAACCCTGGCGAATATCACCCAAAAACAAGAAGTCCCTCTCTCTCTCTCTCTCTCTCTCTCTCTCTCTCTCTCTCTGGCTTTCTCGTTGTGACTTGTGTCTTCTTTCAAGAACTGTTTCACGTCTTGGAGTTGGGGTCTATGATACTTGGAGTTTTAGGGGGTTGGGCTTAGGACTAGACTGGGGTTGACTGAAGTGAAGGGCTCGTGGTTGGCAGTTTCAGGGTGCCGTGCTTGGGCTGTCGGGCATATAGGGTCTTCAGCCTGCGCTCGGTCGCAGGAAGTGAGACGGCTCCGCAGAGCATCATTGCCACCGGCCACGAAATCTGAGCTTGAGGGCAGGCGTGTCCCCGGCTTGACGGCCAGAGCGATGCTACCAGAACTAGCCTTAAGTTCCAGGGTCAGTTGCTGGGGGCTGCCCGCCCTGGCTGGCTGGCAGGCAAATTTTTGACACTGCTTCAGCGGCCTTGGCGCAGGAGCCGTACTTGCTACACCTTCTTCAACGGGGTTACAAAATGGGATGTGGTACTTTAGCCATCTAGCAGCAGTCTTGTAGAAATTACATGCCCGTGCAGCCTTGGAATGCAGGGCGCCTGTGCCATCTTGGAGCGTCTTAAAGGAATCTCACGTGCAGTGCCGATGTCGTGCAGAGCGTAGCTCGTGATGTCGCTGCTCTCTAAGCAGCATTTCTGAGAGAGCGGTTCAGGGTTTAGGGGGGTTTAGGGTTTTAGGGGTGTAGGGGTTTAGGGGTTCAGGTGGTGAGGGTTTAGGGATTTAGGGTCTAATCTAGGCCTCCGAGAGTGGCTGCAGACTAGCGAGTGTACGTAATACATAGCTGCGCTGAGATATTGCACCCTTTGCACTCCAGACTTCTAGGTTTAGTCGACTAGACCCAGGAAGTAGCCCTGTGTAGCTACAGCCTCGGTGACAATGGATTGCCCCGAAGTAGAACCGAACAACTGTAGCCTGGTGGCCCGAAAGTGTTCGCTATGTGCGCGCTTATAGCTCGCAGTCTTAGAGTGATGTGCCCCAAGCAACTACACATGCATTACATTAGGCTACACTTGCTCGAGGCTCCCAACTGTCCTGCGGTCATTTCAGCATAGCATCTGCCGACACCGAAGGTTGGGAACGCTTGACGCTCTACTAGTAGCTCGTGTTTTGCCCATGCGCCTGGAGCCAGACGGCAGCAAAACAGTTGACCGCTTTGCGCACGTTGGCTCAGGGCCAAATGATGTCAAGACTGTGAACATGCTGCTGCGACAGCTGCTGCTGTTTCTAGTGCTGCTGCTGCTGCTACGTGTCTTTGCTCGGGCAGGTGGTGGAACATTTGCCTCTTACGGACCGCGCAGAGAACGAATTGAACGACGAGGACCGTGCCAAGATTCGTGAGAAAGTGGCACCTCGTCCTTCTTTTTTTGGCGTGCCACGTCTTGTGAGCGGTGCTTCTTCCGCACAAGCAAAGTGTTGTTGAGCCAGCTTAGGCATTGGCCCGAAATGAAGGCAGGGCTGGAGAGCCTATTTCGAACATCAAGAAAGTGCGGTCCAAGAGCAAGGCCGAACTCAACCAGAACGTAGAAGCGCTGCTGTCCCTGGATTCAGCTCTCAAACTTTATGGCCTGACGTTTGACAAGTTTCGGTGGCCGCATGGCGATCCACTCCACATGAGCGATACTGATCTTCGCAATTTCAACCTCCTCACCGCTGACGTGGTCATTATGTTGGCTGACCGGGAGGGATCCCAGCATCACGGCAGCAGCAAGCCTAGAATATCGCGGCTCAATTTCGCATAGGTTGGTGTGCAGCGTGTGCCCGAGGACAAAAAAACATCAACACGATGATGTTCGCATGCCCGATGCTTGCTGCCCTGCGCGGAGATCCCCTTCATATGGACTACAACTGCTGCCTGAAAGCCTTGTCGGCAGCGGGCTTTTCGAGCATCTCGGCATTCCTAGGAACAGAGCAACCTCAAGGTTGGACAATGCTGAAGTTGTTTTGTTGCATGCCGGCAGGTTTGATCCCTGTGGTCCAACTGTGCATGAACGTGAACCGGGCTGGGGCTTTCAATGACCAGAGCTTCGGCAACAAGAAGGCGCAGGCATGTCGCCTGTACAAAGAGGTTTTCCACGAGGAGTCTGCAGAGCCCCTTGTTGTCGACAGTTGTTGCCTTGATACGTTTGCTCAGATGCTGACAGTTTGCTAAGCTTCCAGAGCCGCCTGAGGTTTCAGGAATTCTCTGAAAACTTCGTGGACGATTGGGGTTTGGACTCGCAACCATCCAACAAAGAGCTGCACGACCGCTTTCTGGCATGCTGCAGTCAAGCTCTCCGAAGTCAAGATCGCGCACCTCAGCTGCACAGTCAGTCGTCACGTCGAGGGGTCTTTGGTCTACACGCGTGGTCGCACCGCGGCCTCTGCCCAAGTACGGCCCAGGAAGTGGTTTTCCTTTTTGGTGCATTGGAGGGGGCTCACGGCCAAAGGCGAGGAGTCGGAGTTTGATGCCATTGAGCTTGGCGCCAGGCTCCAAGATCCGTCCCGACGATCGCAGTACGGAGGTTTAGACCACACCTGGACCAGCAACTTGAAAATGGCACTCCTTGCAACGGAGATGGAGGGCAAAGCTCGCCTCTGTAGCGAGAAACTCAGGGCGCAGGAGGACATGCAGTGCCGTGGTTGCATGCAGCGCTTGGCTCCAACTGTAGCTGAAGCATGCTTGCAGGACAACCCCGACGGGCAGCAGAGTCTGGACATGAAGGCTGTGAGGAAAAATGCCTTCGAGTCCGGTGCCAATCAGCTGGAGCTTTCAGCTCTTGTTCTGCAAAACTTCGATTTGAGACTGCGTTGTCGAATGAAGCTCGTTGCAGAAGGTTGTAACTCTTTGAAGTTTGTGTGTTTCAGTCTCATTGCAAAGTATCTTGGTTTCTCAGTATTCTTGCGTCCCTCTTACTGGAGGATCGACTATTGCCAGAGCCCCATCTTTGCGACATACCTCGCCACAACACGAGCTGCAAGGGAGTTGCCCACGCGAGTGCAGTTCCAGGCAGACAGAACCAACATGGCATGGCTGAAGGACGAAATCAGCCTGTTGTTTCAGCAGGCTCATGATCCCGTGGTTCTTAGACGCCTCAAGGTCTGGAAGGGTATGGCACGCAACGACGATGGATCACTGAAGCCAACAGACATGCAACAAGAGCACCTGGAAGCCTTCTGGAACTTAGTCGTCGCCACTGCGTCGGAACGCACGTGGTTTCTTCTTCACTACGTGTATACTGGGCCGGAGATGTTCGCAGGGCTGATCAGCGATGATGAGGGCGAAGCCCTGGCGTGCCTTGCGAGGGTGCGTTCTGCGGCTGAGTGCCTGATTGCAGCAGAGCGCGCGGTCAATGATCCGCAGCATCAAGACAGAGTTGCTGCATGACCGCACTGACAAGCGAGTTGTGCATAAAGACTCTGTGTGCCTTTTTCTGGTTCTGGGCCTGGGGTCTGGCTTGGAGGAGGTGTGGTACTGCTTCTTCATGCTCCTCCGGCAACTGTGTTTGTCTGAGTTGTCTGTAAGGTTTCTTCGTTTTGTCGTCGCGTGATAGCTGACTAAGGCACTGCGTGCTGTGCTGGACAATGTATGGTGGAACAAGCTGCCCTTGATCCGGCTCATGTTGGCGAAGCTTCGGGCTCACTCGTGGCAGCGGGGGAGCTTGTGGCAGTTCACGTGGAAACTTTTCGGGCATGGGCTGATCCATAGCAAATCAACACAGGAGGACGTGCTTCAGGAGTTGCAAAATCTTGCTCGTTCGAATCGCAATCCCGAGATGCGGCAGCAGCGTGTCTTCTACACGCAAGCGACCTCAAAAAGGTTGCAGGCAACGGGGGATGTCGAGCTCTTGAAGCTGCAGAAAGGGGATTTGCAGCGCCATGGACGGGCGCATGAGGTCACCAATGATTGTTTTCGATCCCGGAAGACACTCCTGCCTGATGCCCCGGAGACGGAGTTCGTTAAGCAGTCCATTGAAAAGCTCAAGAGTGGCGTACAGGACCCATAGTGGCATGGACTCCGGGTTTTGTTGCCATGTTGATAACTCGCGATGAGTTTCAAGCTTGTGTTCTGCAGTGCTTTTGCTTCCCACACTAGGACCCTTCACAGTCCATGTTCCAATTCAGGACGGTGTGAAGCCTGCTGGCACCGAAGCAGACGAGCGCGCAGTCAGCGCGCTCGCAGCGCTGCAGGCATTGCGCCGCAACGGCTTTCTTGGGGCCGACGCTCTGTGGGCAGGAAGTTTGCTTCAGCGTGGCCACCTGTTCCGACAGAAAGCCACTCACAAGACTTTCATTTCTCTCGGTTTTGAAAGCTATTGTGCCTTGGGATGGGAGCTGGCCACGAGAAGCTTTTGCGGGCACACATACTTCTACTATGCGCCTGCGCTGACACGGGCCGATGCAGTGAAGCAGCTGCTTTTCTTAGTCTGCACAGACTTGGCCAAGGATGCTGCAAGCGCCGGGCGTGAGGAGTTTGAAGCCATACCTTTTCAGCTGTGCCCTTCATTCTCCGATTTAGGGGAGACATGTTACTGTTTTTTTTCCTGGTTTTGCCCTAGTTCTGGTTTTCGTGGTGATGCCTTGCCATTTGCGGCAATGAGTTCAGATGCGAAGGCTCCGGCGAGTGCTTGCCCATAGAGGTGCGGGGACATGGATTGCTGCTGAAGCAAACGGGTGCGCCGCGACGGCTCATACCTCACATGCTTCTTAGCAAGTCGCTGGAGGGGATCACAGAGCTCGTCCTTCGCAGCATCTTAACTATTCAGGGCGCCCAAGTTCAGAAGAAACCAGGCGAGAAGTCCGTCACGAAGCGGACTTTGCTGTGGAGCGTGATCTGCGCCGAGTTTGCCAACAAAACTGTTGAAGAGCAGTCTCGCATCTTTCTGAGCTTCTACAAGGAAACAACGAAATCCTCTGTGGTGCCGGATGAGATTACGTCCAAAGCCCTTGAACACCTGCCTTTCGACGAAGTCCAATCAGATTTCAAGGGCATCAAAGACCGCTTGGAGCAACTCGACGTGGAGCAGCGTTTCAAAGAAGTGCTGCACCGGGAGAAGGGCGAGAAAGCCCGGGTGGAGTATGAGACACCTGATGCCATAAAGCGGTTGAAGCCTTCCCAGGGAGTGAAAACAGTCCTATGCATGGATCGGAGAAACAGTGCATTCGAAGCCTACTATCCAGGGGGCCGACCCACAAGATCAGTGTCGTGTTCCTGGCTTGTTGAAGGCAGGGACCAATATTCCGCACTCAGCTTCTGTGTCCAGTACTTGTGGAAAAATCAACACGACAAAGGGAGGGCCGCTTGGCCGCACTACATTGCGCAAGAATTCAGCGCAGAGTTCGGGTGTAGGAGCGATTCGCACGATAATCAATATGGTCAAGTGCCTTGAGCCTTGTGCCGGTGTCAGGACTTGCTTGGCCAGCCGAGTGCAGACGATGTGCGAAATGCTTTGGCAGAGGCTCTTCAGCAGATCGATGATTGGGAATCTGGTCCTTGGGCTAAATTCAGGCTGTGGTTTATTAAATGTCAGTGCCTCAATCACAAACCTTAACCTTACCCCAATAACTCGCTGTGCCTGGCCTCGGGCCTGGGCTGCTGCAGTGTACCTGCGTGCTTCAAACACCTCCAACATCTCCCTGTAAACACACCGCCCAGGTCGTGTGCTTCGGAGGCCTTTTGATGGCAAGCCGAAGAAGGACAAGAAAAAAAAAAAGGAGGCGTGACACTTCCGACGTGGAAGAAGCCGAACCAGCAGATCCAGAAGAGCCACCCGCAAGTCGTGGACGTGGCCGAGGCAGAGCCCGGCGTGGTAGTGGTGGGAGAGGCGCTGCTGCCGCTAGTGGCAGACCGGCAGCCGCCAAGGCAAAGACAAAGCGCAAGAGCAAAGCCAAGTCATCCAAGTCTTCAGCTTCGTCGGCCTCAAAGAGTGCTTCCGACTGACACGAGACTTGTTTCCTGGTGCCGCGTTGCTGAAAGCACAGATGGCATGCCACCAAAGCAGCATCGAGTGCCAAAAAGAGGAACAGACATTCAGTTGCAGCTACAGCTAGGACCACTCCGCCAAACCGAGGCTGCCTTATATAGCAACCCCATGTCTAGCATAAGTCGTGGGCACCCATGTACTGTACATGAGGCTTCTATGCCACTCCCATGAGCTCCCACCATATACTGCTTACATCCTCGGCCTGTAAGTAGGCACATCCGTCTCCCATAACTCCCCCCCACCATAACTCCCCCCCTGAAGATCCCCTTGACCTAGAGTCCTGCACAAGTCTAGAATCACATAGTATACCCCCCCCCCCTCCCGACACTATCGAAATTATTCAGGCTGCCATTCATCAACCCTTAGTATCAAAAGAGCCCCAAAAGCCTTCTATAATAGAGTCTTTGCGCCCAAACGCCCATTAAACTATGAGTCCTTTGAGGGTAAGGGTCATAAACCCCAAACTCCTAAACCCCAAACTCCTAAACCCTAAACCCCAAACTCCTAAACCCTAAAACCCTAAACCCTAAAATCAATACAGCCTAAGAGGGTCATACTGTGGGACCGGAAGCTCCCCCAGGGCTCCGTCGTCTTAAGATGAGAGGATGTTTAGGGTTTAGGGTTTAGGGTTCCGGGAAGAAGGGGCTTCGGGGATAACCCAAAATTTTTTGGGGGTCCCTGTAGTTTTAAGGTTTGAGGGTTTCTATGAGGGTACTAAAAGGGTGCTAGATGGATAGTTCTTTAAGTTAGGGTCCCGTAGACGGTGCTTTGTATAAGGGTCAAGGTCCCTAAATTCCCCCTCCCCGACCCCATGTCATCGATCTAGGAGAAATCCCGAAAAACAGATCCCACATAGCATCCTGATTGTAAGGACACCTAGAAGAAGGATCCCTGATTCTCAGAAGCCTTGTGCAGAGTTATGTATGGTAAACCCATATAAGCTTAAGCCCTTATCAAGCCCCACGTTTCCTTTCTTACCAAGCCTAAATAAGGGCCCCAAATAGGTTTCTTAGATCGCCAATGGGAGAACTTTAAACTTTTTGGCCTTATATATTACGTCTATCCTTAAAAGTTTGAGCTTTTTTGAGCCTGGTTGTTGAAGAAGGGAGGTTTTAAGAGCCGCCCAGGCAGCTACAGTTGGGCATGGCGCACCGTGGCAGACTCAACGTTCTCGCGCCTTGGATTTCCGGTTAGGGTTTTGGGTCTAAGTGTTAAGAGGTTAGGTGCGTTGGGGGTTCAGGGTGCAGGGGTTTGGGAACCCTAAACCCTAAATCCTAAAGCTTAAACCCTAAACCCTAACCCTAAACCCTAAACTCTAGCCCTAAACCCTCAATCCTAAACCCTACACCCTAGACCCGGAATCCTGAACCCGAAGCTCTTTGTCCTAAGCCCGACGAGCGAAGAACTCTTGGGATGGAGTTTGCAGCTTTCTCTTCTGATCCCCGAAACCTAAGGCTCCATGTACCGGGTTTAGGGTTTTAGGGTTTTCGGTCTTTAGGGGTTTAGGGTTTTAGGGATTTCGGGTTTAGGGTTTTCGGGTTTCAGGGCTTTCTGGTTTAGAGTTTGGGGTATCTACAGTGGCCCTAAAGTACCTATATAGAAACCCGGGAAAAAAACTCTTTGGGCACATGGACCCTTAAACCCTAGACTCTCTAGAACCCTCACGGAACGCTTAAAGGAATCCTTGACGGAACCTCCAAAAAGAACCCTAAACCCTAAACCCTACACCCTTAAAGGAACCCATTTGGGTACATGGAGCCTGGCAGAATGCTTTTTTCGAGAGCAAGTCTCAAAATTTTCGACTTGGGCCTGCTGAGAGAAGGATCTGAGTAGGTGGAGTAGGGTTTAGGGTTTGGGGTTGAAGGGGTTTTCGAGTCCATAAGGATTAAGGGATTCAGGGTGTAGGAGCTTCGGGTTTAGAGCTTAGCGTTTAGGGGATAGATAGAGAGGCTTGAAGAGCAGCGGTATGGGGGGGTTTCAGAAGATCTGTTGGGTAGTCAGGGACCCTTTTGCAGGGGGGTCCTTAAACCAAGGATCCTCGACCAAGAGGTCCGGGCCCCTGCAAGGCAGTCTTGTTAGCCCTGGAAGCCCCAAGCCCTAAAGCTCTAAACCCTGAAACCAAAAAAGCCCTAAACCCGAAAAGCCTAAAACCCTAAACCCGGTACATGGAGCCTTAGGTTTTGGGGGATCAGAAGAGCCCCGAACTAAAGCTCTTGTGTTTTTGGAACTGATTGCAACAGATATGTCCCTGGAGCGCCTGTAGCATTGCCAGGATCAGGCCCCCAGCCCGCTGTAGCCCACGTAGATGGGGTTTGGGGTTTAGGGTTCAGGGCTTAGGGTTTAGGGTTTGGGGTTCAGGGTGCAGGGTTTAGGGCTTAAGGTTATAGCGCTTAGGACCCTGAACCCTGAAAACCGCAGAACCACAACTAAGCAGCAAAGCCTTCTGCGGCTGCAGCCAGCGAGCCCTAAACCCCAAGCCCTAAACCCCAAGCCCTAAACCCTAAACCCCAAGCCCTAAACCCTTGAACCCTAAAC